AAGAATATCATAGTAGGATTATCTCCTGAAAAGAGATCGCTGTTAAAATACTAAATATGACAATTTTATAGCTGAAGAGTTTGGGTCACAATGTCGTTTGTAGGCCAATATTCCCTTGACAGTGCACGTGATCTTTAGCACGTTGTAGTAGGTTAGTCGAATGCTTTTCTATCATGACAATCTTTCACAGTGTTTCACATTGTTAACATGTTTCCTTCCCGTGATTTTTCAAGTTTTTGTTACAAATATACTTTGTTAAATAGAATATTGATGTAACATGTGAAATATTTTTTTCCTGTTAAAGACCATGTACTATTTTGACTAGAACTCAACTTTATCTAAAAGAACATAACAAACGCATAGATATTGAGTTTTCGTAGAGCTTATAGGATGATCCCTTTTCTTCAAATAACTTTGTAAGCTTTCGGAGTTGGGGATTACCCAATGACGTACAGGAGTGCTCTTCTCTGGATTTTCTCAATTATGATTTACTTTGAGATTTTTCAATATAATATATAGAACTTCAACTGTGTAAATTTCGCAAACAATATTATCCATGGAATTACCACAATAAAGTCTCCTTACCATTGACGTATCAAATCCTATCATTTCTCTCTAACACTATAAACAAGTATTTTCTCCAAGAACTTGAATTACAGAATGGAAAGATTATACAGGGATGATACCCTATCCAAATATATGTATATTGATACAAAATAATAGAACAACAATATTTCACCTTGTGTATTAGGCCTCCTTTAAGAGACGATAGAGTAACCTGTTTAAAACTTCATCACGTGATGGTCTCCACCTATTATGTATTAAACAAGCATCTTAATGATTTTATAGCTTCATCCTTTTAGATGGCAGCTAGTTATTATTAGTTGCAACTGATACTTTCTTCTTGATTTCCAAACATCTTTTAAATAATTTTACCTCATATAAAGTTTTGTACGCTGTACATGTAATCTCTCTTTCTCCTTCCCTTCTCTTGGGTGAGTGTGTGTTTGTGTGTGTGTGTTGGATGTGCCCGCTTGTGATTATTATTAATGTTTTACTTATAATTTGTTAATTTTGTAAAAGGGGCACCAGTCCACAATATCTCGATCTTTTTTGGTTGCCCCTAACGATATGTTAACTTTATATATGATCATGCCAACATGTTTTTATTGTATTGTACTATTTTTTTTATATCGTTGAATAAAAATTAAAAAAATACTAGTTTATTCATTAAACATTTCTTCAAAGCCATATGTATGACTGTTATCATCATGGACGGGTGTGACGGTTAGTTGAATATATAGAGTCTATCAGGAGTACAGAAAGCAATCTCCCCTGATCGGAACTCAAGGAGATTGTACCAGTTTCTCTCAGGCTTCTCAATCTTGTGATCAGAGATGAGAGTCTGGACGTGTTTCAGCTCGCTGGTGTACTCATCTATACTAACCAACCCATCATCATGCTTGACCCAAGCGATCAGGATTGAATTATTCTGAGTCACAGCAGCGAGTAAGTAAGCATTTGGTTTATCTATTTTGTGTTTTACATTGTCATTTGTGTCAGTTATTATTACTGTATTTTCATATCTGATGATCAATACGTCATTATATGTTCATCTCATAAGCAAAACGTATTTACGTCTTTTACCTTTTCTTACATGTTTTGCTAATGAACGAATCACGAACGAAGCCAACTGGGTGATGGCCGTTCTAATTGGTCAATGAATTCAATGCTATAAATAATTCATGCGGAGCAGTAATATCTAGATTGCAAAAGGCTCTCGTGGCGGTCGCGCGTTCACCCCGGGTATCTAGACTCATCTCAGTCGCTTAGCCAGAGTCACGAGGCCTTGTCAAATATATTCGTACCCGATTGGCCCCGAGTCAGGCCACGGGAAAGACAGGTAGTCTAATCAGGCTACACTCCCTTTAAGCACATGGTGTCGGGCCTACTTACCAGGTTGTTCTTATCTTGCTATGCTAATTACTTAGCCACTATACATTTGATACCAACATTATTTGCCACATGTCATTCATTTGTAATCTTGAACATTCAGAAATAGTTTCGTCGATTTCTGTAAGAATGATTTTGTCGATATTCACAAAAACTCGAGATTATCTTTAAGAAAATAATACCTATACATCCAACGACAATCAGACGGACTAAGGATCTAGGTAATCTACCGATTCCAGCAGCTTTCTTCTGCAGCTGACCAAAGTTCAGCTGATCAAATTTAGGAGTAAATATCAGCTGCTCTGCACGGTCAGTTACATCCGTAGCAAGCTCATTCTTTGGATCATCCCCATCTAGTACATTCTTTAGCTCTCCGGACAATGTATCACGAATAACAATGATATCACCTTCTAATGGAGCCTTCATGCAATTACCCGCTAGCACACTCGCACTCTCAATACTCGTAATCAACCTTTCATCAACATCTCTCATCTCATCCAAACTTTTACAAAGTTTCTCTTCCTGAGCGTCTAACTGCTTGTCTAATGCTGATTTCCTCTCACTTAACTTCTCGAGTGACTCTAGATAACTCTTATTGATTTCAGCCTTTTTGCCGGCAAAGTCAACCGTGACACGCTTCTTCTGAGTCTTGATGCATGTCACGTGGTTCTTAATGGCTGTAACTTTCCCCTTACTTTGGGCTTGTAGAGAATCTGTTTGTGTCTTGGTGGAAGCATTGTTACAGTAGTCCTTAGCATCTTGAACGGTGTGACCTTTCTTATTACACGACCTTCGACATTCCAAGCAGATGAACTTCTTACAGGTAATACACACATCTGTACAGATGTGTTTTTGTTTATCTGCTTTGTGTTCTTGGCAGTAAACCTCGTTTTGGAGGACCACCCTTCCCTCTCTGACGTCTGGCGTCATATGACGCGTTTCGACTTCGAATTCGGGCCATGGTGTCGGGCCTACTTACCGGATTTTGTTTTAATCTTTCTATGCTAATTACTCAGCCACTATACATTTTCTACCAAAATTGTTCGGCACATGTCATCGATTTGTAATTTTGAACATTCACTGTTAGTATCGATAGTTTTGGTGGACTCTGTGAGATTTTTTTTGTCCGGATTCACCAAAACTCAAGATCATCTTTACGAACAGAAAACATATACATGCAACGGCAATCAGACGGACTAGGAATGATCTCGGTATCAGATTTCCGATTCCGACAGTTGTCTTCTGCAGCCGACCAAATTTCAACCGATCACATTTAGGTGTGAATATCAGCTTCTCTGCCTGGTCAGCTACACCCGTGGCAAGCTTATTCTCTGGATCATCTCTATCTAGGACATTCTTTAGCTCTCCAGACAATGTATCACGAATAACAATGATATCACCTTTTAATGGAGCCTTCATGCTATTACCCGCTAGCACACTCGCACTCTCAATACTCGTAATCAACCTCTCATCAACATCTTTCATCTCATCCAATCTTTTACATAATTCGTTTTTCTTAGCATTCAACTGCTTGTCTAATAATGCTTTCCACTCGTTTAATTTTTTGAGTGATTCTTGATAACTCTTATTGATTTTAACCTTTTTGCCGGCAATGTGATCCGTGACACGCTTCTTCTGAGTCATGATGCAGGCCACGTGACTCTTGAGGGTTGTAGCTTTCGTCTTACTTCGGGCTTGTAGAGAATCTATCTTTGTCTTAGTAGAAGCATTGTAGTCCTTAGCATCTTGAACAGTGTGACCTTTCTTATTACACGACCTCCGACATTCCAAGCAGATGAACTTCTTACAGGTAATACACACATCTGTACAGATGTGTTTTTGTTTATCTGCTTTGTGTTCTTGGCAATAAACCTCGTTTTGGAGGACCACCCTTCCCTCTCTGACGTCTTCTACTCTCACAACTCTATGCTTGACATGAGGCGGCCATTTGTTGTGAATCTCAAGGCATGTGTTACACATATCCTTACCACACTCACAACAGAAATGTACAGCTCTCGAGTCTGTGTCGCAAATTTCACAGACTTGCTGGCTATTCCTCACATCATCAATGAGAGACTTGAGAGGAACATTAGTATTGAGATTCGAGACATTGCCACCCTTTACAGATGTTTCGCTTCGACAGATGGGACACGTTAAACAAGCTTTTGAAGAGCTTTTAAGAATATCATTGAGGCATTTCTTACAGAAAGTATGTGTACATGATAACTGCTTCGGTTCACAAAGCAGCTCGAAACAAACAGGGCACTTCAAATTGCGTGAAAGTCTGTGTTCGAATTCTGACATTGTGATTCTCCTATCTCACTATGCACTGATATGATACATAATGCAAACAACAATAGTACATCAATGAAAGAAATTTAATACCTGGACTAGAGGATATTTATATTTCTCGTATATTCAATACAGATCCAGCTCCAGTAGGCAATGGATTTATCAGGTTGTCTAAACTTCTTCAGTTATCATAAACCACCTTTAATCATATCAATAATTATTTTTAAAAAACGGGCTGAAAATAAACGAGAGATTGTCTTGTTAAAGGTATTACAAAGTTTTGGGAAATTTTGAAAAATGGGTGGATAGTGATTCTTTACAATTTTGATATATTTGGATGCCCCTGTGGATGTATTAAAAACACCAGAAATTTTAGCTTCTAAAACACTTCTGCTTTCGAGAAAAATTGAATATAAAGATTTACCGGTGCTCCGGGTAAATTTTGATAAATTTTAAATAGCTCCTACGGCCGTACAATGGTAGCTGCGACCCTGAAAATCTCAGAGTATGTAGTTGTGGTATATAATTTTCGAACAACAATAGCTAATCGGTCGATTTTAGTCAATAAGCATTGTTTTATAGCTTAATTAATATCTTGACCTTGAGAGGGAGCTATTCAACATAAAATGTTCATTATTACAATTTCATAACTTTAGAGTCGATTTCGACCGCGACAACGATCACTGAATACTGTAGGATCGTATATGCTTCCAATATATTCATTTGAACCAAATTCATGACCCCATATCAAAATTTTGTATTACCTTTAAGGTTTTCAGCAAAAAGTCTTATCGCTAGTTACTAAGAAACAGAATATAAATTAATGAAAGAGTACCTTTTTAAAATTATGGTTAGGGGATTAATTTTAAATTACCAAAGTAATTAAATGTAATGATATGAACAGGTGAGTTTACAGTCGGGTATATTCTCCTTCCTGTCGTCGACCACCACATGCTATCTGCTGCAGATCAAAAACAAGTCAGGAGGCAGTCTGAAGATGACTGAAGATGATCTCATTTCTTCTGATCCGTACTCCTCACACAATGTAGTAGTTGGCCCTAAAATTGAAAATGAATAAATAGTGATACAACATAATAATTGGGCCTTATATACCCAGGGTAGGACAACTGTATTAATACTGCTCTTCCTGCGGGCCCCCAGTTACTATTGCCCCATCAATTGTCAGTTACCCATTTACACCTGGGTAGAGGGTAGTAAATATGGATCGTCGTCTTGCCAAAGCACGTCAATGGCTGGCAATCAAACTATTAATCGTATAAGAGTAGAGTGAATTAATGAACCACTAAAACACGACACCTCCAAAGTATGACCAGTCGAGTCAATATTGATAGTGAAGAACAATTATATCTATGATTATAATCATAAAGCATTTTGCGTAACCATGGAGAGCGAGAAAGAAAGGAATGACTAGGTACGGGCTGCGAGGAGGGGGGGGGGGTGCAATGAACCAGAGAGAGAGAGAGAGAGAGAGAGAGATGAGTTCACCGCTCATGATGGCGGTCTCCTGCGTTTTTGTAATTTATCTTTTTTCATTTAAAAATATTTGTGTTTATGCATCATATTTAATGTACCGAATACTTTATAATAACGTATAATGAAGAAATAATTGTTAAATTATGTATATGTTTATGTACTATTTTGAAAAAATAAAACAAAAACACACATAACTGAAGGCCCTGTGTTGATATAGTTTCATTTCCCTTCTCTATATATTTTAACATATTCGTGATGTTTCTTGTCATACCACTCTGTTCATTAATACATTTACTAAATAAAGTATACAATAAACTTTGCGATTGATATCCACATTTTGCCACTAATATACATGTCGATCAAGGTCGAAAACTATCCAAACTCTCAATAAAACAGATACCAATTTCACATATTCACCTTAGAGAGCGTTTAAAATAAAATATGTTTAAATGCCTAGCTATAGATATGAATTTCTACATTATTTCTACATTAAAATAATCCCTAATGTAATTTCTGTACAAAGATTAGAAAGTACTTTTCTTTTAAATGTGCAGTTTTAAATATTTGTGAAAAGACTGTTCTTAAACAGATCATCAAAAAACCGAAATCACCATAAAATGCCTGACAAGTAACTTTAAACCCATTTTCAAATTTGGATACAAAGTCTATTAAAGTAGAGACATCCTCTTTCCGAAAATGTCCTCACATAATTTTCAATCAGCCTTTTTGGCAAATTGACAACAGACTATGATGCCAAAGAGGAGGTCCCTCTCTTCGTTTTTCATATCATGTTTATGTAATGTGCCAAGCATACTCATAATGAATGTATTCAAGTACAATTGGCTGCTATAGTCATAGAATAATCATGCAATACTTTTGTTTATTGTGATAATCAGTTGATGGTTGATTTAAAGATTTATACACCGTTATCATGACTGTGTATATCGAACACACATAATCCGACAGTAACTTACATAAACCACGTAAAATCTTTCGTTGGACTCGAATGCATGTTGTCCACCTAGAAGATTCCTCTTTGCTGTTAATATTTCGGATCTGGAATGAAAGGGAGACATGTAATGAGACCAATCTATATTCATGATAACACGGCAGGATTTCCTTTAGAATAGTATAACTCAGACTCCACTATAGTCATAATAACAGAGTAGACGTTCCTTCAAAATTATAACACTAGAAGTTTGTCAATTTAATAAAATGTCGATCAGTTGGCAACATATTCATGGGCTATGATAACTTTGAAAGACAATCTTACCAAACCTCTTTGAAATCCTACTAATTGAAGCCAAGTATCATCCCTAAAGGGTTCGACGAAGCTGAAGACATCGATTTATAAGAAGCTAAAGAAACACATCGTGTCGCTGTTGATAGAAGTCTCAGTGTGAGATAACGAACAAGTTAGTTCCTGGTTTGAGTAAAGCCAATCCTACATAGGAATGAAACAATGACAGGAAGCCAGTTAGGTTCAAGCTAGGTATCAAATCGGTGACTCATGGTGACACAATTCTTACGATATTCCAACATAGGCGCGTACGCAGGGGGGGGGGGGGGGGGGGTTACCCCCCTTCATTTTTTATGTGTGTATTTTGGAGCAACCCCCCCCTTTGCCAATGGCTGACCTAAAAAAAGGTGACCTTACCCCCCCCCCCCCCCCCCCCCCCCCAACGGAGCAAAATGTCAAATTTTGAAGTTACGAGACCAACAAATTAACAAATATATATTCCAGGTAATTTACAATTATAACATTAATAAAATTGGCCTCTCAAGATACAAGTTTTGTTGAGTTAACAGAAAACTAACAAATCAATAATTCATTTCTGATTTTCATTGAAAGAAAAAAGATATACAGAAAAAATATCATTTTATGTAAACAAATTCCTGAATTGGAACCATTTTCTTGTGAATTTGTTATTTCTACAATTCGAATTTGCAATATACTTTTCGTTTTTGAAGTAATTTATAATCGAAACTCTAATATTATAAAAGTCGGGCAATTGTTTCTTTATTTTGCAAGTATACACAATCTGCCGCAACACGATCAGTATACAATTCAATGCATAATTATTTGAACCTCTTAAACCAAATATATTTCATCTTGTAATGAAAATGTTAATTTATATCCGGTTCCAGTATAAATCCAGTGCTCTAACCTATCCCAAATATGTTTAACATGCGTACAAACACACAAAAGATGTATAACTGTTTCAATCTGTTCACTACAAAATGTACATTCTTTTCTTAAGACTAAATTCATTTTAAACAGTAGATCGTTCGTATATAATATGCGTTGCAAAACTTCAAACTGAAACCATCGTAAGCCCACATCAATGGTACAATTAAATCCAATAGAACAATATGTTTTCCAACTCTTATCATTGAGGTCGAAAATGTATTTCCATTTAAGAAAATTTTACATAGTCCTTTTTCTTCTCTTTAATAAAATTACACAAATATGTGAACATCCTTTAATTCATTTCATAACAAATGCCACTGTATCTAGGAAAAGAGGTTGTGGCACCTTGTTAAAAAATAGTACAATTGTTAAACCCTTGTCTAATTGCATCGCATAATCCACGATAAAAAAGAAAATTTATTTTTGAATATTATACTTTTCTTGGAAATGTTCCAGAGAGAAAAAAAAAATCACGATTTGTCTCTAAAATATCATTGACAAAACGAACTCCCTTTTGACACAATTTTTTATTATATATTGAGCTATTGCCTATTTTAATGTAATCATTATTCCATAAGGGTTGGCAAGAAATGTTATCATAATGCATGGACAAGAGCGTACTATAAGCCATGAACATTTCTTTTCAAAAAAGGTTCTTTGTTTTACCTGCCAGTTCCCGAAAATAACTGTTTACTGTTACCATATCTGTTACTTCCTTTATTATAACAGCAGTCATGTTCACCGAAGAAGTCAACAAGTTTTTGCTCTGTGGTGGCATCAAAGTCATACTTCTCCTTAGTTTCCCCGTTACCTCATCTTCATCGCTATCAAACTGCCGTCTTGATGGTTCTCCCTCCTCCTCGTCATCGTCGTCATCTTCCATCGCCTCCTCCCGGTCGCTTCCGATGGCCATCATTTCTTGATATTGTTGTTGCTGCTCTCCTCCTCTTCCTCCTTCCTCCTCATCTATTTCGTTACGTTTGTTTCCCTTCCCTCTCTTCCCTCTAACAGATTTCCCCTTTGGTCCCATATTTGTTAAACAGGAGATGCACCCTCGACGAATACTATGAACAGGCGCACCGGTAGCAGTTTGGGATTGGGGGTGGAGGGGGGGGGGGCAAACATTCCCGGGGGCTCACCTCCAGGGGCAATGGCGTAATGAGCAAAAACGTTTGGAAGGGGCGGGGGCAGAAGACAAATCTGCATCACCACCACTCTTACACGTCAATTAGCGTGGGGTCCAGGGCCTGAGCCCCGGCAAGGGGTCAAGGGGCTGAGCCCCCCAGATAAAAATCAAGGGACCACCTTAGGGCCCTTAGTGGGGTCCTAGGGCGGAGCCCCTGTAAGCTCTGGGGTTTTAAGTAGGCATTTAATTACGGTCAGATCAGCATACTTTGATACCTCATTTGCGACATTGGCAGGTCACTTATTTTTCTCTGTAACATACTTTTTCCAAAAAGTGAGGGGGGGGGGGGGGCTCGAGCCCCCGAGCCCAGCTGTTCTGCAGGCCCTGACATGAAGGCTTTAAACAAGCATATTTTTCGCCCGACTGTAAATTTGGGAATTTCTAGTTTTCCAACAAACGCATAAAAAGGTATGACTTACACAAAGTTGAGAAAAAATACCAGAAATCATGTCTTTTCAGTAACATTTGTAAATCACTGGTATCGAAAAGGAAATAACACCCCCCCTATCAGTACGCCAGCGTTCAGTGGCTCATGTCTTCTCACCCCTATAACAAAAAACACAAATGCTTTCCTATCCTCTCACAATATTTCGACGATAAGCCCGTATCGCTATTATAAAAACCTCCATTGATAAATAAAGGTGGCATGTGGAATGTTTAAGAAATTGTTATTCCTGTTAACTTTCCTTTTCTTTGAATGGAATTTTATATGTGATTTAATTCAGGTTTTTATTATTGTTATGTTCTTTTGAGTTAAAATTACAAACCATCTATATTCCTTTACTGCTTTTTTTTTTTTTTTTTTTTTTTTTTTTTGGGGGGGGGGGGCAAAAATGCGTTTTGTCCCCCCCCCCCCACCACCACTTTTTTTGGTTGGGCGGGGGGGGGGGGGGCGCCTATGACTATGAACAAAGTGAGGATTTGAACTTCACTCGCTTGACTTTATAACCGCTAAAACTTGAAATTTGCATAAATTGTGTACGTACACCTTACGAGCACCTTACGAACGCCAGGAGTCGTTCGTACGAAGGCCATGAGAATCTACGCTCGTAAGGCGTTCTTACGAACGCTGTAAGAGCCCTCTATGAACAACGCGAGGCGTTCTTACTGTCATCGTAATAATTTGAAGCTTCTAGAATTGTCCCTCGACCCTACGAAATGTACGAAGATCTTGCGTGGTTCGTACGATATAATTACGGCGTTCGTACGGCCGCCTTACGAAGAGAGGGTTTCGTACTATGTTAAAAAATGTCGCTATTAATAAAGACCGATATTCATAAGGACCGATATTCATAAGGACCACTATTCATCAGGACCGCTATTGATAATTTTATTAAAAAGTCATTATTCGTGAGGGTCATTATTCATAAGGACCGCTATTCATAATCAAAGAGGAGGGTCGGGGCAATTTAGAATATAAGAAGAGGGTCGCTATTCATAATACAAAATCGGGCTCGTTATTCGTAAGGGTCCCTATTCATAATACTAGAAAAGGATCGCTATTCATGATACGACTAGAGGGTCGCTATTTATAATACGACTATAGGGTCGCTATTCATGAGGGTAATTATTCATAACGTCATTATTCATAATCGAAGAAGAGGGTCGTTATTCCTAATACGAAATGAGGGTCGCTATACATAATACGGGATGAGGGTCGCTATTCATAAAAAAAAAGGAAATGAAAAAAGCAATAAACAAAACGATGATAAGAAAGCGAAATGATGGATAGGGGACACTCCATGGCTGTGGCGTAGGCGGGGGTGGGGGTGCCACATGGCCCCAAATATTTGTAGAAAGCATTTATTGAAAACATACATTTCTGAACATATAAAGATTAAAGGCGTGCCCCAATAATATACATGGCCAATCATCCCGGGCCTTTACCCTATACCCCCCCCCCCCTATCCGCTCAACCACGCTGCGCCATTCGGTCCACCCTCCCTGCAGTGTTCCCTTGTTACAAGTACATAATTATTACCGACAATTCTCGTTCGAGTAGTTCATAGATTGCGTAGCCTGTGTGTGTTTTACGGGTTAGGGGGGGGGGGGGGGGGGGGGGGGCAACAGCGTTGCCATCAAGGGGCTGATCTATCATGTCCGTAACCCTCAGCAAAGGAAGGTAGCGACAGAGAGGGGTTAAAAATATTATTATCATCATTATTATTCTTAGTGTTATTATAATTATATTCAGCATTTTAAAATTATTTTTCATTCATTCATTCACAAGGTCAATCAGCATTCGTCTCCTGCGACTATTCCAAAGAAAAAAAACGACTACGCAATGATCACTTTTCCCGTGTAAAACCACAAGATAGGGCAACACCATACTGATAATAATCTCCCTGTCAGATAAATTTATCCCCAAGGAACTGTAGATGAATAGAACTGTTTCCTCATAAAACGGTTTCACTGGCGCAAAGATTGAGATAAGTTTTGAGTTGAAGTGGGGTTTCGGGCGGACGTCATTTCAATTTCCAATCCGCAGCAGTGTCAGAGCCTCTGAACTCGATCTTGTGTAAGAAGAACGGCACCCCCCCCCCCCACAAACAAAAAAGAGAGGGGAAACGAATGGGGAAATGGAACATGGAAAGGAGGCGCTAACTGCTTCCTAACTCCGAAACAGGCTCAATCCCTCCTTGTTTTAAATCATCTTCAACATGAGAACAATTCAAACACAGTTTGAAGACATATCATGTATTTTGAAACCATTTGCATTCATTGAACTCATACCGTCACTGCTTAGTAATTTATGGTATATTGGTATATTATTTTATTAAATGCTAACATTGTCTGACTCGTAGATGGCATCTCAAAGCGCTTTTTATCCAGTGGAAAGGCGTTTTATAAATTGCAACTACTATAATAACTGTAGTGACTTGCCTTGTTCAGGTGGTATTACGTAATGCTGGTTTATTGTATGGGCTCCGAAGATTATCATCCTATTTGGCAATGGAAAGTAAA